TTAATACATGATAACCAAGCTCTACTGAGATCAAGTTAAAATAATAAAAATGTAAAAGAATATGAACATAAATTACAGAAGAAAAACAGTCAATTAGCATAAAGCTCCTTGAAACAAAATGAAAAAGAAGACTTAATGAGGCAATGTTTTTATTCAAAGTGTCAACATATAAAGTTTTATGATGTGTTAATAAAGCAGATTTAGGCACTTCTAATGGTAGGATTTAAATTTGTCAAAATCTGTTTTGAAAGACTATGTAGATTCCAATCAAAATTTTAAATAGGTATGCCCATTGGATCTGAAACTTAATTTGTAAGCAACTATATTAGGAAATGGTTATGTACGTGGACAAAAATATCTTTGCAGCACATTAAATTTAGAACCAACCAGTATTCAGTATTCAAGGGATTAAATTATAGTGGAGCCTTACTGTGGAAAGTTATGTGTCTGTTAAAAAGAAATGAATCTATATATTTTGAATATAGACAGAAACTCTATGAGTTATTAAGTGAAAAAAAAAGCAGAAGAACAATATATAAGACATAATTTCATATATCTAGAGTGTGTGTGTGTACACACACACAGAGCCCCCAGATAGTATCGTCTTTGCAGTAGGAGTTTTTGGCAGGAAAATGAAAGAAAATATAAGTAGCAAACATGCAGAAGAAACATCAAGTCTTATGTACCTGAGTATTTTTATAATACTGCTGGAGACCTGAGGACCAATGTTTATTTCACAGGATCATGTTCTGATTGAGCTTACCCAAGCTGGATTAAAAGGTTCTACAGAAGGAAGTGAGAGCTATGAAGAAGATCCCTACTTGGTGGTTAACCCTAACTACTTGCTTGAAGATTAAAGTATTAAAAGTTATAGACCAGAGTGGAGATACTGGCCATCTAACCCCTGGCCTGGAGCCTGGAACCTGAATGGAAGAAACGTTACTAGCAAGAGAAGTGTTTCTGGGAATAGTGCTTCAAGAGAATTTATTTTGAAAAGACAGCTGATGGTTTTGTGTGTCACATTCCTGTTGCGCTTTTATACCAACATGGGCTTTAACATTTATTTAGTATGCTTTTTCTCTAAATAAAGTTGGACCCAGTAATGTGTGGATTCTGTAACTAAAGCTTTCATTTTCATGTATTGGAAAAGATCTATTACTCTTATGGTATGTGGTAATCTGAGGAAATAATTTTTCCAACTGCCGTTTACTGCTCTTTTTATCAAAATAAAATAACTTTTTCTACAGTTAACTATTATATTTGTTCTATTCTGATTATTGTTACCATCTACTTGTGCACATGTCAATTTTTGTTTAATTTAGGGTGAGATCGCTTTAGTTTCACATGAGACTCCTCCATCTTTGAATCAAATCAGTTATTTCCTGAGTCACTCTGTATGAACTTAATATGGTTATTTTAAATTAATTTATAAGTGCACCATAGGTTTGAAATACATCTGGATTTTTAAATTATGATATGTTCTATGTAACTTAAAAAGAGAGTAAAAGTACATTTTTAAAAATATATATATTTATTTATTCATACAGAACTGGGGTACAGGCCAGAGGTACAGTGGTGAGAGGATTCACCAGAGACAGAGTAGGGCGCAGAACAGGCCGACTGACGAAGTATACTGCTGAGGAGAGCAGCGGGCGGGTCAGGAGAGGTCTGGCTCGCCATGTGGGTCACCTCCAGAGCCGGTATCAAACTCACACTGCTTCAGCTAGCTTGCAGTGCTGTGTCCTAATCTGTTGTACCACCAGGGAGGGCCCTATATGCATATATTTCTATACACAATTAGAGAAATTAAGAAAATTGATTACATACATAAGAAAGTACATGGGAATAAAAGTGAAAAACCTATACACTGGAAACTAAGGCAAAAGAAATAGGAAACAAAGAAATGGGATGATATCCCATGTTCATGGATTGGAGAAGTGAATATTGTTGAATGGCCAATTTACCTAAAGTTATACAGACTCAATGCAATCCCTATCAAAATCCTGATGGCATTTTTTAAGGAAATAGAACAATTTTAAAATTTATATGTTATCACAAAAGATCCCAAGTAAAAAGCAATCCTGACAAGATGAAAGATGGGGAGTTGTTATGCTCTTTGTCTTCAAACTATATTGGAAAGTGATCAAAACAGATAGTATTGAAATAATGCAAAGACCAACAATGAAATTGAGAACCCAGAAATAAGCTCATTTATATGGATAATTAATTTATAACAAAGGAGCCAAGACCTTTGTCATACATACAGGAGGGAAGAAAGATACTGAAAGTGTTGGGAAATGTAGAAAACATACAAAAAGAAACAAGACTGTGGGTCCTCCCTGCTGGTCAACTGGTTAAAGCACAACACTGAAATTACAACTGGGGCCCTCCCTGGTTGCTTAGCTGGTTACGGCACAGCACAGCACTGCAAGCTAGCCTCAGCCACTTCAGTGGGAGTTCAATCCCAGCCCCAAAGGTCCTGGCAGTCTGCCTGTTCTCCCTCCCACTCTTTCTGGTGAATCCTTTTACAACCCCTGCACCTCTGGCCTGTACCCCATTTTTGTATGCATAAATAAAATATTTTAAAAACAAACAAAAAATAGGCAGACGACATGAACAAACACTTTTCCGAAGAATACGTAAGGATGGTCAAGAGGCATTTGAAAAAACGCTCATCATCTATTACTAGGGAAGGGAAATGAAAATCAAAAACAATGAGATAATCACATCTAAAAGAACAGTTTATGTTAAAAAGACAGGAAATGTGTCAGAGAAGTTAGAGAAACACTGTTAATGGGAATGTAAATGGGTGCAACCTCTCTGGCAAAAAAATCATTCCTTCAAATAAAAATGCCATATTACCCAGCAATTTCACTTCTAGGTATTTATCTGAAGATTATAAAGATACTAATTTGAAAACAAATAATCTCTCTCCTATCTCACCCACTTCTCCCCTCAGCAGTGTATTTAAATATACCTACCCGTTCTGCTCCTTACTCTGTCTCTGGCAAATCCTCTCACTACCCCACCCACACACACCTCTGGCCTGTACCCCAGTTCTTGCATATATAAATAAATCTTTTTTTAAAAAATGTAGTGGGGGCCGTCCCTGGTGGCACAGTGGGTTAAAGCACAGCACTAAGAAGCTTAAGCCACTCCCGCATGAAGGAGATCCACATGGCCAGGCAGACCTCTCCTGACCCGCCCGCTACTCCCCTCAGCAGTGTACTTCGT